TAACCTAAGCCCGAGGTCCTCAACATTTTCCTCTCTACCTGGCCCTTCTTAGTCTCTCTCAGGTCCCCTTTTCTCCAACATCCTACAGTGGTGGATCTGCCCAATTACAGCCTTAGTCGCTGCTCCTCTCAGTTTATACAAGTACTTTGGCGAAAGCATAATTCATATCCCCTTTTCAATGACACTGTCCTCAACATTAAAAACCAAGTCCAATGGTGATTAATTGTATAAAACATAATGAATGGGGAGGGTGGTAGCAAAGGGCTGAGGATGGGGCAGGAGGCATTAATCATAGGGTTGTACAATTTGATGAGTGAAGGGGTGTGTGTGTGAAGAAATGGGAAAAATCCAGTGTGAAAAACAATGTATTCAAACTTTGTAAATAAACCAATATAACTACCCCCCTACAAAATCTAAACATTATGAATGGGAATAATTGTATGAAACATAATATGAATAAAGAATAGTGTGAACACAATGTGTGTGAACTTTGCAAGCAAACCAATATAAAATAAAATAAAAAAGGAGGGAAAAAACTCCAAACCCTCAAACTCATCACGGTCAAGGTTTTCAGAGGCTGCAGAAGAGATTTCCCATCTTTCTCTCTTGGAACAGCTCGTGGATTCAAACCATCTACATTTGGGTTGGCAGCTCAATTCCTTACCCTCTAGGCTACCAGAGCAATGTCAAAACGGCCCTGTTAACAAGTGGAAAAGACTGCCTTTTATTACAAATCTCTGGGGCTTTGCATTATGCCTGTTTTTCAGCCAATGTCAGGGACACGTTCCAGTTCCATTTGAGTTTATATTCTTTGATCTTTTGTGAATAGATACCACATTTCTAGAGCAGCCCTAATGGTGCTGTGTTAAAGTCTTTGTCTGCCAACCAAATGGTCAGTGGTTCAGATCTACTAGCTATCCCACAGGAGAAGTATGGGGCTTCCAAAGAAATTACAGCCTTGGGAAGCCTATGGGGTAGTGCTATCTGTTCTCTATTGTTTGTTATATATCGTTGAGTCAGAACTGACTCATAGCTGACCCTCCAGTGAGTTTTCAGAGGCAGTAAATCACACAGGAGGAGACTGCCCATCTTGGAGCAATTGGTTAGGTCTTTTGGATGGGCAGTGCAATTCCTTATCACTAAGCTGCCAGAGGTCTGCGTTCTGACTTGACAAAAACAGACTGTGGCTTTTTGGTATGGTCTTTACTGTCTATCAGGAAAACCAATAAGGATATTTTCTTAAAAATAGAAGTAGATTAGCTTCTAAGGGGCAGTGTCAGTTGAGCTCTTCCTGACCATCATGATCAAGCTTTCCATTGTTATTAGATGTGTTTAGCATATGCTAGTTGTTACTAAGAGAGCTGTGAGAAATGCAACTGAGGCTTTCTCCAGCAATCTGCAAATGAGAAGAAGCACTCACACTGTGGTTCAAACTGCCCTTCTTCCCCAGGGTCTAATTCAGTCCCAATGAAGCAGAGTGAGCACAATAAAAACTGAACAAACAAAACCCATTGTCTTTCGTTTGAAACCAACCAATAACTGCCGCCTGCCAGTGGATTTTCAGAAGCACAGGAGGAGATTGCCCATCTTTTTCCCAAGGAACTGCTTGCTGATGGATTTGAACCTCCTGCCTTTGATTTCAAGGGCACTAGGCCACAAGAAGGCCCAGCACAATAGGAAAACTTGCTCTTGGGTTTTGGTCTTTTT